TAATTAGGATTAAAGTGCTAGTTCTCCCTCTCTCTCTCTCTCTATCTATCTATCTATCTATTTTTCTCACTTTATTGCCTATCTCATGTAATACAGCTTCATCACGATGGGCAATGTGTGATACAGGATAAATATCAGATTTGCCATTGTGAACGTAATATTGCATTATTTGTCGTAATTTCGTAGATTATTAATTTTACGAAATAAAAAACATATATATATATAAATAAATAATAAATTCATTATATCATGTAATAATATAATTTATAATATCTATATCGAATAATGGAATGTATCAGCATCGTATCTATTTGTCATATTGGATGCTGTGGTTAATAAATAGAATTTTACTAGCACGAACATATTACGCGACACAGGCCTGCCGTAAATTCGATTACGCTAAATATAATAACCGCGAAAAGGGGAGTGGATGCATTACACCCACAATTAGGTATTTTCTATTTATGTCAAGAATACTTGCTAATTTGAATTTTATCAAAGGTTTACATGTCCCGAATATAATATTGTTAATATCCTCTGTGCAATATTCGCGAAACATTTCCCACCCATTATTAATATTGATTATTAATTATTCACAATTGCAACATTGACGGAAGAGCCGACAGTACAACTTGGTTTGTTCGTTCGCTTGGCGAAAGTTGAATCGAGTTATAAGCGTATTCAACCTCGTTAAAATTTATAAGCCAAAAGGACGTTAGTGTCCGGTTAAGGGTGCATCAATGTGTGAAATTCTTCGTGACCGGTTCCTAACGAGCTTGTATAATCTCTAATAGCTCGTAATTTCATAGTTATTATTCTCGTAACGAAACCATCGAACCTTCCTACATCTCTGTCCAGCTGGCAAATTTATCGCCAATATGTAGAATGTCTCACGCGCTATCGCGTTCAATTGTTTGAACCATAATAGTTATTCGCTTGACATTCGCATATCTTTGTGCGGAGACGTTTGTGTATCGATAGTACGCGTATAATTCGAATATTATGCCAACATTACATCCGGCTGCATCGCTAACTCCATCCACTTGTGACGATTTATGTTACGCGAATATTATAGCGTCATGTATTCTCGTTTCATCCGTTTTGTAATTTATATCACGTTGTCTCCGCATCGAGAGAGACATTTCCATTTTAATGTATTGTATATTCGTGTTTATTTTATACACATACACGTACGAACATATATATATATATATATATATATATATATATATATAAATTTTTACAATTATTATATATATTTTTACATATATATATATATTTTAACATCTATTTTTAACGTAATTCATTGAAAAAAAATATTGTAAAAATTGATATGGCATCGAGGTCATTACATCAATTTTTGTAATCGATGATTTATTGCAGAGTCGTTCTTTAAACTCAGATAAAATTTCGTGCAAGATCAGCTCTGTCGTTCTTCATGCTCCGATCTATCTGTGAAGCTATTCATGCGTCTATGGAAATTTTTACGGAGGTATTCACGAAAATCCCTTCTTCTATCGATCGTTCCTGCTCAGAAATTGCGAACTCCCAAATTGATTCTCGGACAAGATAGGTATTTTCCGCCGTGTTAAACACGTGAAAAGCGACGCGCAATTTAAATTTGTCTTCATGAAGATCTACGCGCGATCGTAATTAGTTTGAGAGTATGTCTAGTCTGAGAACTTTCAAGAGATTCTTTTCACGTAAATAATATATAAAATCTTGGTTATATAATAAAAAAGTGCACTGTTGCAAACGATGTAATCTATAGCAAATTTCCATCGTGAAACTTCTTTGAAAGATTTTAAAGTGTTCTTGAAAGAGAGTTGTACCTTCTGACGATGAATTGTATATGAATCAGAAGTTATCGAAAAAAAAGGTCATTGAGAGATCTGCTCATCCAAGCCGAATAATAGACACGCAAGTAAAAGATTTTCAAACTTAATAGGATCAAAGTGTGTGTATTTTTTCACAAGAATTCGTTTAAGTATCTCTATGATACTCTAATAGATAAATTAACGAGTGACTGTGACTATTTGAAGCTTTATACTATCCATCATGGCCGGACTTTTTATTAATTTTTCTTTGCGATTTATAACTTACTTTAGGAATGTGTTTTGTGACTTACTTTAGGAATGTAACAATCTTGTACAATATGTACAATATTGGAGAGAAGGATTAAGAAAGTAATTTTAATTTATCAATTTTTGAAAAAGACATTATTATTTTTTGTTTTATGTTTTGTTTGTTTAATATTTGATTACAGATAATATAAACTATAATTTTTGTAATTTTATATAAAATGTTTTAAATGGCAGAGACATCAGATAAAAAAATCAATACAAATAGAATATTGATTTATTGATTATACATATGTATAATATTTATTCAATTCATAAATAAAACAATAAATTCGGACAGAAAGAACAAAAATCGTATTTTTTTAAATTTTATGATGTATATAATCGTGTATATGAAAATTATTGTTGAAAAGAGGATTTTATCAAAGATTATAACAAATTTTATGTTAATAGATATCACAAAATTCTTGTCTAAAAATTATTTAATTATAACATAATTTATAAGATACACAAATTAATAGTATAAAAAGTCAAAATTATTTTTTCATCGTTGCAATACGAACAAACAAATGGAATGTTTTGTGGGAAGCGACGAGCAATTCAAAAGAAAGGTTGATGTTCATTAGACTCGGCCTATATAAAGCGCTGGATTATTCGCTAAATGCGAATATGGTAAAAATAGGACGGTAAACGAGCGTGGATGTGCGAATTTTACAGCATGCTGAGCCATCCTTTGTACCAGAAAAGAAAAGCGGGAAACTGGAGAATATTGTCGGACGAGATTATGTTTTTCCGACGCGGCCCGACATGTACAGCATAATAAACGCTTGGAACGCTTTCAGCCCTTAGTCAGCTTCGACAAGCAGTCGCACTTTGGTTAGTTAATTTGTATGCACAAGGTGTGTCTGATGTGCAAGATAATGATGCAAATGTTATTTCATATATCGCGCGTGCGATTATTACGTTTACAAAAATTAAGGACAAATGTAACGCGAACTAATTGAAACTTGAATATTTTTTTTATATGTCGATAAATATATTATACATGTTTGATGGAATTAATATTTTATATCGGTAACATTTAGTTAAAGAGACAAAGTAAACGTTCGTGTATATTATCGTATGCACACTTTGCATTCAATCCGGCACAGTCTACTTTATTTTCGAGATCAAAGCATAGGGATGTCAGCAGCAACGATGTATTCATAACATGTATGTGACTCATCGATAGAATACATTGGTACGCGTATTATTGATGCAGCCACAAAGATACGTATTTCACATAAAGATACGTGCTTTAATAAAGTTGAGTTTGTAACGGATGTATTTTGCGGTATCCCTTGGCGGACACTTTTTATTATACTGGGTCAGTCGAGTTAACAAATTGGTAGATATTAAGGTGCGAAAGGGCAAATAGGCCGTGACAACCAGGCTGTCAGATTCTATACATAATATCTCTGTCTATATCCGACATAGTTTTCTCTCTGGGGAAACTGTCTATCAATGCGTCAACTCAGAAATATGGATTTTGTTTCATGTATGTTTCTGATTTTTGTGTGAAATTTACAAATCTGATAAATTTATTAAATCAACTGATTTTTTTAAATTTACACACACATTTTTTTAGAAAAGTTTACTATTTATATAATCAATTTTGAAAAAAATGTAAAACGATGATAAAAATTATAAAAAATAATAAAATAATTGTGTGTGTTAATAATAACACTATTTAATTAATTTGTATTATTTATTACAATGCAATCGGCATTAAAAATGTTTCCTTTTTAAGAAAGACTCTAGAAAATTATTGATTTAGAATCACAGCCTTGTCATTATTACTTTATAATTCAAAGGATTTACCTCTACGTGATGTTTATTAATTAAATTTGCTCGCGCACTTGACAGTAGCGACTATAAAAGTCTATGTAAAGGCCCACGTGAAATCCATCGTCCATGACGCAAGTCACTTGGAAATATTTATATTAAAATACAGTAGCCCTTCGCATTTTCACCCGAATAACTCGTCGACCACCTTTGCGCGTCGGAGACTGAAAGTATTTAGCCGTCCATTAACGGCGCGACAATTTTCACGGCAGAATTATCGAGGAACACGTTAGTTTTTATTCGATGAACAGACTATTCTCCAGCTTGGTATAAAGCGGTCGTAAATATTAGACTTGGTCATAAATGCAGCGCTACCGCTAACTTTTTACTGAAAGATTAAACAGAAGTCCGCGGTTGTAGACGTCGCGTCGCTTTCGCTATCGAATCGCTCTCGTTCAACGGAAACAAAGCCACGTGGAAGCGTGGAAGCGCGGTGTACCGTCGTTTCCGACAGGCAAAGTTTGTACGGTAGCGGAATGGATTAAACGCGTTTTATCGAATGCAGGAGAGGTACGTCGTTGCGACGCGTATTGAACGACCGCGCGATCGATGCGCGTTTAGCGTGCAGACAGAGGGAACGTAAAGAGAAAGGAAGAGAGAGATAGACAAATAGACAGAAAGAGAGAGAGGCAGGGAGAGGTAGAAAACCGCTCGACTGCCGGAGGCTGCGGCTACGGATCCTCAAAATAACGCGGTAGGTCAGTCGGAAAAACCAAAAAGTCCCCCCTACCCCTACGTCTTTCAGAGGAGGCCTGCGATCCTCTCGCCAGTTCGCGTGGAAGAATCCGCGAGTTGGAAGACCCACTTTTAGAAAGAGACGCGCCGAAGGGAACACGCCGTTCGTCAAGCGCGCCGCAAGAGCGATTTAATTCGATGTTTACTCGAGCATGGAAATTCCGTGCGCGCAAAAATTTATGGGGTTCGCGATTAAGGACAGACATCTCCGTCGTATGATGCGAATCCGCATGCGTTTGCACACGACAGTATGATAAACGAGTCGGTACGTCGCGGCGATGGCGGGTTATTACTACTTACAGTACGTGTCGGTGGTGAGTCGATCGATGGTATCCTGCTTGAGCTTGCTGTTCTTCTTGCCCATCTTCGTAGCCTCGTCCTGTGCGTTAACTCTAACGCGCGCGATTTACACCGATCTCTTGTGTTGAATCACCGACTTTGCCTCACGTTGGAGAACTCTCTGATTAAGAAATCTCACCGTCCAACTCGCATCTCTTGATCGCAACTGATGGATTAAAGATAAAGTTTGAGTTTCGAGCTAAAATCGACACGTCACCACCGTGAATCGGCACGAAAGAAGTGAAGAAGTTTCTAAAAACGCGACGCGCGGTCTTCCTTCAAATGTGGGCTCCTTGGTTCCTCTTGTTTTGAAATCGCGGAAATGCTCTATCAAATTTTACCCGATAAGTTTTCTATTTATAACTTTCTCTCCCATTGAGCCGAGCCGATTTTCCTCTGTTTTAAGAAGAAAAGTTCGGCGATGGATTCAATTTGGAGGTGTGTTTCGCAGGAAAGCGCAAAACTTTCTTCGATCTTAAAAACAGAAGCATCGGTGCCTTTCGGTAAATTTGCGTTGCGATCTCGAGGACGTGTCGGGGATCGAATCGCGAACGATGGAATTTGATTTAATTTGCTTCGGGGACGCACGGGAGAAGTGGGACGAGGGAACGTATTTAGTCGATTTAATTACGACGCTACGGATTCGATATCATTCGTATCGTTTTATTCTTAGTCAATTCGTTGATATGCCTCCCACGTAGATTTTCTTTTCGATGATATTGCTTTTTCTGTGGAGAAGAACAAGGGAGAATTTTAATGAGGACGCGAGATCTCCCGTGAATCGCAGTTGAAACTTCATTTTTTATTTGTACTCGATGCGCTCGCGATGTTTTTAAGCATTCGTGCGAAAATCAGAAAATTCGAGACTTGACACTGTGTTCGAATTATAAGTGGTGATAATAATAATAATTTTCTGATGCGATAAATGAGCTTCGCGGAATCATTAATTGTGCCTCTTTCGGTCTCTTCGAAGAAGTTTTGAAGCGCGCAGATGAGCTTCCAATTTGCAAAGATGGTATCGGAAAATTAAGGCAAACTCGGAGAAAAGACTCGGGAAATTGTTGCGATAATTGTATCAAAGCGATTATCACAATCGATAAATTTATTTTTTTGTTGCAACGAGAGTTATACGAACTCATCAAATATTTGCATCGAGCGAATCTTTAATTTTTGCGCGATGATCTTTGAATATATTCAAGTATAATGAAAATGAACGTTATTAAGATATATATCGCTGTCTCAAACTGATTGTATTAAAGTTTCAAAGGTCGTAATACGGGACGGCCGATACTTCCAGGACTTGTACTAGCCAATCCCTTCTGGGCTATTATGTGAGCTGGGTTTTAAAGGCCAGCGTTACGATATCTCCCACCTTATCCTGGGATTAAACGGAATTCCTACTAAATGTATTTCCTTAGCTCTTAATGTCATGATTCTCTTGTTCCCCCACGATCGTCTTTAATCCTATCGTTTTTCGAATACCACGAAAAATATTACATCGTTTGTTACTTTGAAGTAATAATAGCCATTAATACAATGCTTTTCTTTTATTTTTTAATTGAAAATAAGACAAATGAAGTCAAAAATCGAAAATCAAATAAAGTATGAAACTATTTAATGTAAGAAATTTAAATTACAAAATATTCAGCGCTTTCAATATCTGCAAATTGGATAAACTAGAAATCAATAGATTGCTTTTTTTAAATCTGCATAAAGAAAAGGGAAAAAAGCAATCAATTTCTATTAAAATCAAGATAATTATTCATGCTAGTCTTGTGATATGCGATAATAGATTGTATGACGGAAAAAACTTGGTCGTGGATTATATCAGTTATAATATTTATCGTGTAGTCATGAATGTCTTTGAATAATGAATCGCGCCTATCTCCGTCCATTTTTTTATATCTATTTCGCAATCTCCCCGCAACTCGCTCGCAGCGCGGCATTAATGAATTACAATTGAAAGCAAGGAAAATTTTCAGCAAAAGGGAAAGTTTTATTCGCAAACAAAAGGATCGACCGAGGTGGGAGAATACGGTCCGACGTACTGGATTTGAAACGAAGTCATGTCCGTTAGTCGTCGAAACTTCCAAAAACTTGAGGCGAATAACAATGGACGAACGAGGCGCGTCGTCTTTCCTCGAGATAAAGTTACGACCAAGTTAACACCTCTTTCGCCTTAATACGGAGATCTTACTCGCTTCTGAATGACGTATGCGGTACCATGAAGAGGAAGTTCTAACCGTGCCAGACCAGATCTCCCCTGAAGAGAGAATCCATGAATTTAAACTTAGATTAATCAGTTAATGCGAATCATATGGTATCCCACAAAATTTGTGGAAGCGTACATGACGAGAGGTTTGAATCATCGAGTCCTTCGTGATGTTGTATTGCGCGAAACTGATCTGTATGAGAGGCAAATTCGACGGATGCGAAGGGATCATGAGATTCGGCAATATCGAAGGACGCGAGGGAGAACCTTGCCGAATGATTAACTTCCGGTCGAGGTCGTGCTACACCCTTGACCTCGCATCACGATGACACTCGGAGCATGCGTTTCTGCGCTTATTATTACGTCGTAACAACGAGCCAACCGGTTGGCGAACAAAGAAGATATCCTAAGATCCGAGAAACGAAAGGAAGTAGAAGTTGGAGATGAAAATGCAAATGTGGTGAGTAATTTCGCGTTCTCCAGCTCGCGAATCCTCTGGAGAACGCTTGTATTGCAAAGTAGAGGAAACCTGATTATCGGGAGACATTTTACTAGTACGCAGCAGCGTAACCCATTCATAAAACAAACCGGATATCGACGAGCCGCTGCTCTCCGAAGTGCACTAAAGTGTTATATATCCGGAGCACCGTTCAATCGCGATAGCGGATAGCGTGCGTTTAAAGAGATGTTATCATCACGAGCACTAGCAACTCGCGCAACTTTTGCACAAAACGTCGATATGTCGTGGAGAACGCCATCGAGCCTCTGAATGAAGACGAGGATGGCGGGCTGGCGGGCGGGAGAACGCGTTATTCGTGTTGTTTGTGAAACGCATGCGTTATTCAATGAAAGATTTATCACTGACAGAGATTATATTTGATAGGTCAATGAAGATTGTTCCGTCCAGATAATTCGCTTATTCGATATACGTTCGCTCGGCGGAAGCTCATCGGCGGATGCGAATCGAGATTTTGACCATCGGAATCTATTGACTTTTTTTATTGGTTCATCGCGATCGCATCGCGAATCGATCGGGATCAACTTTACCACACGCAAGTTGACACGATTAACAAACAGATGCTGCGCCAACCAACGGCTGGCGAACCGACTCGCTTCCAGCTGGTCCCCGGTTTTCGCGGAGCGAATCGGATGAGAATCAAGGATGTCCCGTTGGTGCGCGATCGTATGAATGTTGGAAGCGCGTTCCTTCACGAGGGCTCTATTCAACGATTTGACGGTAAGTAAGGGTTTCATTCATGAGTTCTCTCACCGCTGGCGGAGTACGTTCGTCGGTGAAGCGCGGACCAGTGACGTCATAGCGTCGCGGCGCCTGGCGTCAGACTGGCTCAGCGATGACATTATATTGGAAGTGTGTTGGGTTACGATAGCGCAAGCGCACCTCTCGAACCTGAGGGGGATGCTCAAATATCCTACCTCCCGTTTCCCTCCTTTACAACGGAGTTCCTCCGATTCCACCACCTTCGATCCTCTTCGCGCTTTCTCCTTCTCTCCGTTCCTCTCTTCCTCTCTCTCTCTCTTTCTCTCTATCATACCTTATACGCTTTCACCGTCTCGGTCGATCGCGTTCTGCGTCGTTTCCATTCTTGTTCGTCTTTCCCCGATTTTTCCTTCTTCTATTTTCCCTTTCCTTCTCCGGTGAAAAATTTTTTCATCTCCATCGCCTGCATGAGAGTCTCGCGCGTCATCTCTCTCGATTTCGTATTCGTTTCTTTGCGCCGTCTCTCTTGCGGATTTTTTTTGCTACTTCGTCCCTTTTGTCCTATTCTTCCTTATGACGAGATGCCTTTTCACTTTCATTCGACCATAATTCTCGTCTTACAAATATTGTTAATACCCCGTCGCATTTGAAGAAAACTTTTGGCCCCGGCAACTTATGCCTCGTAAAGTTTCATTATGAAATTAACTCAGACAAATATTCGTATTCAAAAGGGAGTTCATATTTTTATTATTATTTATCATTGTCCACTACCGTCGGCTGTGTTTCTGTTTCTAACTTTATCACAAACTGTAATAAGTATCACTTTGAGTTGAGGCTGCTCGTCCGTCTGCTTTCGAGCTTGAAATTTTTATCGTTTCTACTAAATCAAAAGAGAACTCGCGCAAAACCCTACTAAAATATGTTGATGGTTTTATGTTGGAAAATATTACGCGTATCTTGGTAAACAAATGTAACGTAAAGAAACGTGATGACTTTTCTTGGTCTTTTATAGTGATGTAATCCATTACAGCTGCGCTATTCAAAAGAATATTCTGGGAAATTGAAAAAAGTTAATAATGACCACGCTATCTCATGCTGATAACTTTACTTCGAGAATGAAATAGGAAAGATATGAAGCAGAGAACGAGTGTAAAATAAAGAAATACGGGGAAGCGAAACGTGGCGAAAATCTTTCCGGTGCTTCATCCTGATGAGATCAATCACTTAAAAACGCTACGGAATCCATAGGAAAAGAAAGAGGAAAAGAGAGTAACGCGTTCGCGAAATAACATTTTTCGATTGAGCGGAACTTAAAAGGAAGAGATGTTCGGGCAATATATATTCCATAACGGATTTTTGTTGCACGTCGACCGTTCCGTGAGTCTGTTCGATGAATTTGCGACGCGAGGGATCTAAATCGGTGCGGATCCATGAATAAAAGAAAAGGTTTGCGTGATATCTCTGATTCGTTGGTTCGATGACAAAACAATTTATTTCAACTTCCACCTTCATCTCCGCTAATGTTCGAAAAATTAGTCTCCATTGATATATTGATAAACTATTATTTAATACATGTATCTAAGCGTATATTTAAATAATAATAAAATAGTAATGAACAAAAGTTACAATATTATATCTCAAAAGAGATATCGTACAATATTTGACAATCATTCGCAGAAAGTGTATTATTTTCTCATTACGGTTTACTTTTACTCTTAATCCTTTCTCACGCGATTGTAATTAATCAAGCGACGCTGCGGTAATAAATTCTCAGCGACGTCTAATTATCTCCTCGAGATAAAAGCCTCAAGCTCGCGTGTTGGTGTTTCCTTCTGCTCATGCAATTCTTCACAGTTTTTCGCTGACCATCCAGCAATCCGATTTACTCTCTAGTCCGTTCTTATTGGCTAGCCACGAAAGCCGTAAGCTACCAAGCACATATCAACTTCTGGAAGACATGGCATTTCTCCTTCTCCTTTTCCCCCCTCCTCATGAAGTAATAATAAAAGTGCTCGACGCGACATACGTCGAATAGTAATGGACAAAGCGCAAACCAAAGTGGAGCACGTCAGTAGTCCTTGTGACAATCCTCGGCATAAAAACGTCAATGATTGTCTCCCCCGCAAAGATGGAGCCGGCGATCAACAGCACAATGTCGACGACAATAACAGATACATCTGCCGTCGCGCGAGCGTAAAACGCGATTCGTCAAATTGTTTACGGCCGTCGCGATCCGTTGCTGAATAATTGCTCGCTCGCCGGCTCATCCAATGATAGCCGCATCCCTTTTCCTCGCAGGACGATTCCTCAACTTCAACTTAGAGCGTGCGATATTTTTCGATTTATGTTCGAAAAAAGAGTTGTACGGTGATAAAGCGAATACGCGCTCGCGGTAATTGATGTGGCAGTGCGAAGAAGTGATGAGAAAGAACTTTCGTGATAAATATCGTATAAATTCCATCAAGGTGTTACAACATTTATTACAAAGTTTAATTCGCATATTATCTGTTTGCAATTTCTCAGCATCATAGATCTTTATTATTTAATACACGACGTTCCTGTTTGCCTAATGAATTTTTGATTGGTCCATCCATAACTTTATTACTAAGATCTAAAAAGACGATGGAATATATATCTCGGCAATAATGTGAGGTCCATGCTGTTTGAAATATATATCTCGGCAATAATGTGAGGTCCATGCTGTTTCATGAAATTAAAGTAGTAGTCGTATCTTAGGCTATCCACCTGTAGGATAGAAGCATGCTAACGAGAAAAAAGGTAGTAATGTTGGGGCTTGGAATAATATGCTATTTCTTTGCCAGTTATTATAAATATTCACAGATATCCAATTATAAATGTTCATATATGCAATATGATTTTTTTTGAGATTCCAGATAATTATTCCATAAAGTATTAGATTAGCATAAAGTATTAGATTAGCATAAAGTATTAGATTAGCAAATAATTGAATTATGATTATATTTTTTTAAAGAATATATAATTATAAATAAATATTATATAATAATATATAAATAATATATTAAATAATATATAATTTAAATAAATATTATAAATAAAATAAATACAATAAAATATCATATCTTTTTAAAGATGTTGAGATTGGCAATATTTTACAGCTATTTTAAATGTTATATTATTATTATTATTATTATTATTATTATTATTATTAATATTATTATATTTAAATTATTTATTTTAATATTTAAATTCTGTTATTAGTACTACTATTCAATCTTTTTACAAAGAGTAACAAGAGGTGGAAAGTTTCATTGATGTAGCAGTATTTTCCTTGTCGCGAGATGGTGAAATTGGAAGGAAATCTTGGTGATATTTTGGCAAGTCTTTTGCGCCCGGGTGTCGCGCGAAAATTGCGGTAAGAGCTGCTCGATCCGTCGAAGAAATAAATCGCAGAGAAACGTGATTCCTGTTCCTTGGAGGGATATATGATTCTATTTGCTGGGGTGACCAAGAGAGGCGACGATATGAGCACGGAACGATGGCTGCAGGGTGTTTCGAGTAGAAAATTAAATCCGCGACTAAAACGCACCTGGAAGCCGCCGGAATTGCGGCGCCGCTATATTTAATCTGAATATCTGCCATGGCGCATCGTTGGAATTTATGTGCTTGTTTTGCGCTTCCCTTTTTTCCCCTCTTTTTATTTTTATTTTATTTCCCCCAATATAAAACTCTTAAGCTGAGAACAAAGTCGCAATTGTGTTGAACATTTTTGTAAGTAATCATTAAAGTAATTATGAAAGTGCGCGCAGAAGTTTGCGCATAAATCAGATTAATCTGTCACTCAAATATATTTAACTATCTCGGTAGGAAAGTTCTCTAGGAAAATTTGATCTTTTATAGCTGTCCGCTAGTTTTCCATGAAGTTAAATCGCTATAATGTCACATTTAGTTTTTGCAGCTGCGATGAGAGATAGTCCATGCGGCAATTTATTTTCGCAATAATTGCGTTAATTGCGGGATGAACTGTTGTAGAACTTGATTACCTATCTTTGTCGCGATCTTGCTTTTACATGATCAAATATGAGATTGGCTGAAAATTATACAGCTGATGTAGTTCTGCTAGATTCCTTGTTTAACTGTGTTTGTAGTTCTACATGTTTGAAATGAGACAAACGGCAGTGGTCGGTATTCTTTCAAACGTGTTCAAAAGGGTGACTCGAATTTCGAGAGCTTTAGAGTTAACTCTCGAATTGCTCCCTCGCATCGCGAGGTCGGGATGATATCGCGATAGAGATGGCATCGCGACTAATCCATTTATATTTGCATTAAAACATTCTCAGTCAATTATCAGTGAAATGAAGGACATTTTATAAATATGTTTTATGTATATTTCTTATAATTTATATTTTGAAAGAGAACAGAATTTCCATAAATTTCACTTACAAATTTAATTATATCAAGTTTCTTTTATTTGTTGTCAAGTGCGAATATCCATTTAGACATTGCCTTTTTTATTTAACAAAGAAAATTAACTTACCTTAATTTTTTATCTTCGTTATCTGCCGATAAGATCAGAAAAGATCAATGAATGAATGTAATTATCAATGATGCAATCTATATATGTGTCCTCGATTTACAATTCTAAGGCATGTAAATGCGTCCCATTTACGTCCTATGACAGTTAGAGTAATTAGCATTACCGGCGAGTTAGCATATGAGTCTTCACGGCAGTAGTAATTAGGATCCGGGTGAGAAACGATGCTTTAATAATGTTAGGTACTGATTTATTGAACTATTTCCGGTCGAGTGTCTCTATCAGTCGCTACGCAGTTGCTTCTTTATCAACCGCGTGCGAACAAGCACGGCTTCGTTAGAGGTTCAGCCGACCGGAAGAGTCGTTAACTACGGACAGCGAAGTACACGCGAGCAATTTGCATGACCGTCAATTTCGCGCGTGCTGCGCTATATGTGCAATATAAGCAGCCAGCCTGTCGTGCGCGCGTGTGGTTCCATTTACACCCTAATAAATTTCGAGCAATAATTATCGGATATTAATTATTGCCTCCTTCTCTCTCTTCCTTTTCTATCGCAGCGCGTTACGTTTTGCAGGTAAATCGAGAGGCTCAATCGAATTACGCGTTACGTGTGAATTGTTTTATATCCATTTTTGGAATTTCGCATATTTCCACATTGATTGCATTTGTTTTCCAGTAAGCTATTTATAACGGTTTGAATTTGTCCATGAATTTATCCGTGAAACGCGTATTACTATCACTTTTGTATATAATTGTTTATGATATTACAGTTAATTATATAATTAATCAAATATATCTGATACTAAAAAATTTCAATAGAAATATTATATAATGCGAAGTAATTAATCATATTTGAATATCGAATATCAATAGGTTATATTTAATTGGTATGTTCCAATAATCTGGGATCTATTATTAGGCACCGAAAAAATTCTCAAATTTATTTAAGCTTCTATTAAATTGCTTTTACGTCTATATAAATTAAGTAGTACTGTCTTAACTGATTTTTTTTATTATACAAAAAGTTGGCAGTGCTTGTAAGAAAAAGTTGAATAGTAAGATAATTAATAAACTAGACAAACGCGCAATTTTAAGGTGTAATTTTGATTGACGTTTCCTTTGAGAAGCAATGAAACGCTTTTAAAGGAGTTAATTTGCCAGGAAGAGACTCGCGCAAGACTCTATAGTCACCGAACCTAGAAGGGTAGACAGAATCCTCGTTCACCCCGTGGTGCTTTCGTCGGCGAACCAAGCCACCCTGTATCGATTCAGCGACGCCCACCCAAAGAGCAACCCCCACCATGGATGACCCTACCCATTGGTACCATTTCGTCCAAAAATTTTAGAGCGCGTTGCTTCGGGCGCCAAATCGCTACTACTTTTTTATCCACGCCACGTGATCGACGATTCCGAATGTGTCGCGCCAGCGACCGTTGTTGACAAATCCACGGATCCAACACGAGTTGACTATTCAGATTCGGGCAAATATCGGGATGGTAACGAAAACGCAACGCGATACCTCAGTACGTAGGTCGGGAGATTTGAATTATGCCATGCTTGAAACAACATACTTTTCTGAATTCTACACCGAGTGATTTACGATTAGGGTAACAAAATTGGAAAAATAATATATGGAATCATTTTGAATCAAGGAAAATTGTATGATGCAGGGAAACGTAGACTTTTTTTCCTCGGAAAAAATCCTCATAAATCATCCGGCAAAATTTATCACGTCAGTTGTATTGTACATCTCCATGAGTACGGCTTTATATAAAAAATACGAGGGGCATTATTAAACCCCTGCCATTAAAGCCACCGGTCATATTCCCAGTTTGTCGTATGGACTATTGCATCCGAAACGATTTCATCCTTTAGACACGTTCGAGGGATATTTTGCTGCTCGCCAGAAAAGAGCGAGAGACTGATGTTGGCATTACACACAAACGTGCGATGTACTTCGTGGGCGGTAAATATTGCTCCCGACACCTACGTATTTCGAAATTTTATTATGACGTACAACATGTACGCGCAGTCCCGTAATACACTTCTCTCGTTTCAGTATATGTCTTTGTTAATTTCCAGGATGAGAATGTACGCTTAAATTATCCCTCGAACGATGACAGATCTATTCGTTCAACCGAACGGTCGACCGACCTTATTGCGTATGCATGCGATACATTTCGCACATCGCGACATGTTTATAGCGCCCGTAACGAACCGTGTTCCGTGCACTGGTCTAAATTATTTCCAAATAGCAGCGTACCGAGACGACGGAGGAGTTTGGTTCCCGCCTCCACTTAACTCCGCTATTATTCACGAAAATTCCTCTTCCCCTCTTCTTGCTCACAACGGGTTTTCCTACAGCGTGAATGGAACGGAAATCCTCGAAACAGCGATGATTCTTCTGGCTGTTTATTCTTCTATTCTGTTGCGTTTAATCGGTGTTCTATGTTATAAGAACGCAGCGCAGTCATATTCTCGATTCACATGAGAGAAAAAAAAAAAGAGAAAGAGTTTATCGATCCGCGCGGTAAATATCAAAATTTTAAAGGCTGACGCATGACGCAAAAATCGATGGAAATAACGATCGGACGTGGCCCTGTTTGCACGAGTTCTTTCACGAGACTAGGTATACACCGACCGTGCCGCTCGTCATGTACTCGTCATCTGGTTCGACAGCAAACCGCTGCTGTCACATTCGACACGTGACGAGTGTTCGTGAAGCATCCCGTGAATATTTTTATAGGTCGTGGAAAACAATAAATTACTCGAAGATAGAAAGAAAAATATAATTGATTCGTAAATGATTCTAAAAAATCTGCGTATCTAAAAAATTTGCGTATCATATTTTTTCATTTTTCAGAGACGAGAAGATAATTACGGATAGGAAATTAAGAAAGGAAAGAAAATGTATAACAGTTCTCATAGTTTGCATAGTATCAACACATTTCCTAAATATTAAATAATTATTTTGAAACTCCTTTTATGTCGTATCGTTCTATTTGGCAAAGATGTTTATGGAAAAGGATATGAAAATATAAAAGAGATACTTCTCTGAATTTATATATATTTTTCCGTTCACGCGCGTTTCGCAAAGTTAGCGTAGATGAGACACCGCATACGGAAGAGAGTTCGCGAAATGTTCTTTGTTGGGATTTACGTATGCAAATGAACGAAATAATATTATCATCGAACTGCACGAACGCGGACGGACCGTTGCGGCGAATTTAATTATCGATTCCCCCGGGGAGAGAATATCTTTCTAGAATACAGCATCTATTTTGAAAACGCGATGGAACCAAGAGGTGGCAATTTATTTCGGAGAGTTCGATGTAATATTATTATCGTAGCCGGTAGCCGGTCCTTTCGCTAAAATCGAAAGCCGAATCCAACGATACGTGTACGCTCGCTTGCATCACGATACCCTTTTCTCGTTCCTTTTATACGGTGCGGAAAGGTGGACTTCGTTGAAATTCAATTCCCACCTTGGTCGAACATTACACATAAATTGCTTAGATCTAATCGAACGATACGTAACTTATCGGTAGCAAAGGTATATCGCGTATAAAAGATTAATGACGTTAATGTGGTACATGAGACGCAATTTTCATCACCACTCGGAGCAGTGCACTTAAATTGTATAAACATTCACATAGAAATAAATCACGACAATTCACGGCGTAGCGTAAAATATTTCTCGACGTCGCGTTTATTAATTCATTTGCTATCTTAAATTTTCAGGCGGAGGAACTTTGATACACCTTTTTACCTTCCGTCTCCGGTGACTTCGAAATCAATGCAATTCCTTCCATTTCGATTTCAATTCTCGTGGATTTTTGCAGAAAAAAATCCATTGTACGGTCTCAGGTACTTGACACATTTTGATTCTTTCTTCTCGTCTTTTTTTCGCAGCGCTCTTGCCTTTAATTTCCAACGGCGATCGTTCGCGACTCAATGCACAAGTCTTGTCGTCGTGTCCCCACGTGAATTCTGATAAATTCCTCGGGGTCACAATGCACACAAACGCATTGTGGCGGCTCTCAACGGGCGACATTTCTTTCCTGTCTGCGGTTTCTTCTTTTTCTTTCTCTTTCTCTCTTTCTCTCTCTTTCTCTTTTGTCTGCACCTTTTCCTGCTCTCGTTCTCGCAAACTCGATTGACAACGCTAAAAACTTTTTTCCACTTGTACTTCAGAGCGCAAAAGAGTCCCACGAGATCCCTGACGGACGGTTTACACAGAATCCCTTTTTTTACGTATTTCCGTTGTTGTGAGAATTCGTCGAATCCGATTTCAAAGCTCATGATCTCGTAAAATCGGTGAACGAGTTAAATGTATATTGTTTGATAGAGAGAGTGAGCAAGAGAGAGAAAGAGAGAAATATTTAGATATCAGCTATTTAATCAGATCGATCGATTTGATTGTCGGAGTCAGATATTCAAATTTACCAGCAGTAACCATGTACGTAGACATACCCGGCTTTAGCTGTTAGTACGTAGGAATGTTTCGCGGATGCGGCTGTTCCGGTAGTCTGCTAACTATTTCAGAGTTTACTGGTACACAGGATACACATAGTTCGGATACTCGTAGATCGACTCGTAAGAATCAGTGATTCATAAAGAACGTCGTGAAAAAATAATAACGTACACAATTTGATGTCTTTTCGTCGATAATTATATTATCGGCCGAAGAAAAAGAAACGATGGCTATTGAATCAGAAGACACAATAGTCTACTACATCTCTCTATCAAGCCTCTGTACACATGTAAGCGAAATTGTTTAACGGCATTGTGTACAATCGACATTTTCGTATATTGTTGAGACACTCGGTTTATTTTACAGAGAGCGTTTATTCATATAATAATTCATCTAGATTTTCGCGGTACAACGGCAGCCTCGTGCTAAATTCGCGTCCGTTTTTTTGCGCCGTTTGGCGGAACATCATGGATCGGTTGACGCCAAACTTCGGTGGCAAAAAATCCGTGTTAAACGCTGGCACGTGCCAGATGTCCAGGCGTCGCGACCGTAGTGGTCGGCGGCGTTGTCGTAGTTGTCGTCGGTCGCGGTATCGGGGAATGTTTCATGGGCAGACTTCTACCACCCTGATTGCTCTTGAGCCATGGCCACTGCAGAGTACGTATCAGAGTGTTGCGAAAATCCTCGGAAAAGAGACAATAAATGTAAAACGTGATGGAGTAATAGATCACCTCCAACAGATTGGCCAGCGCCCGGAACACCTGCAACCGAATACGACGAATTAATGGATGGATTCATAATTGATGAAGCCGAGAATTAGAAGCGGAGGCGTGCGAGAGAATAATTGAATCATTTTATCGGGTAAGGAGAAAGCGAAATCTGATCAAGTATTCTTTCAAGATAAAATGACAAGGAATTAGAAAACGGAATTGTCGCTTTAAATTAATTGACAAGTTGAAATTTAGTTTCATTATTGATTGCATTAAATTATAGATGAGATAAAAACGTATTCTAACAGTACATTTGAAAATGAAAAATAATACGTAGCAAAAGTGTGTACGGATCTTATTACCTGGTAAGAGTAATGATTGAGATTACTCTCGCTGAGAGTGACGTTTAAGATAACCATAGGACTGACGCAGACCAGAAATAGGATGCTGGTGCTGCCTAAGAGCAGAATGAGCCGTCGTTCTTCGGCAAAAGTTCTCGGATCTTCATCGTTGCTAATGGTTCTCGATAAAGTCATCCTTCGACGTCGTTCGCAGGATCTTCTGTACACTATCATTATTTTCAGATTGAATCCGGCGAGAAGGATCGTCGGTGCCACTTTAAAAACGACTTCCAGCATTATCTTGTAAATCTGAAGTACATATTTGCATCGCAGATTAAAAGCCATCAAATTATGAAATGCAGTTAAATACAGTACACGCTATTTTAAGATCATAAACAGATTATGATTAAATATGCAAAGCGTTTCAGAAATTCTGACCTTAACTTAAATGTCAGATAACTTTTTTTTTAAATATCAAATACACTTCTAATAATTTGGAGTTAATATTTGGGACATTTTGCATAATTAACGATATTGTTGTTGAAAATTTATGCGACTGAATAATAACGACGTCTTGATATTTTATCGGCTTTCAAATATTTTTTCTTTATTAGTGAAAAAGAACAATGTTTACAAAAGAGATATGAATTACCTGGAAGTACCATGAATGAAGAAATGTCCGATTCTCTCCCTTCTGGTAGATAAGGGGACCGCCTGGCGCCAGCAGGCAGGTCGTAATTTCACCCCGAAATACGCATGGCAGATAAACGAGAAATGTAGCCAGGGGGATGAGCACCACTGTTAGGTGAGGTGGTCCGCAGAGTGGTCGCGTGTGTTGTCCGGGGTGACAGACGCTTACATAACGCTCCACTGTCAATGCCAGAAGCATCATTACTCCAACCCCTATGCATACAATTAACCTCTATATCTCGCAAATATAGTGCCAGATCGGCCTTAAAAGCTCTTCTCGTCAGATACTTGTATCTACGCACACATATACATATAAGTATAATAACTAAAAAAATTTCACAATTCTTTTTCACTGCAAAATATCATTTAATTTTTTGTGCATGCCTCATTTTTCTCTCCATAACTCTTTAAGCATCTAGGCAAACTAATCGTTATCATCACTGTAATTTATAGAAGCTCCAGATTCGAGAGAGCAAAAGTTTCCCGCCGCAGACAAAGTTCCAGCGAGCATCTTCTATTTCTTTCGCGCGCAGCGTGGAAAGAAAAGATAACAGAATAAATTCATTTCCTCCGTAAGAATCGTATCGGTCGTTTCCGCGAAAATGGTGTTAATGGAAGAGAGGAAATGCAAGGAAGGGAAAGAAAGCAAGAGTGAGTCTGTTGGACTCTCTGCGAAATTTTATAGCGCGAAATTTCGCAGCGAGTTTTTCGCGCAGAATTTTCGGTAAAATTCATACCCAGGCAGCCATTCCCGAGAAAGAGCTCGAGGTGAGCGTGATAAAAGGCCTGCGACCAGCTGCTCCATCCCCCGATCTCCTTGTAGGTAAGAACCCTGAGCGCGAAAGGGATGCAGAACAGAATCGCGAGAAGCGCCGCCGCGGAATAACCTGCAACAGAAATAGAAGTAGAGTCTGGGGTTAAGAAGAATAGTCGGACGGGGAAAAATAAGAGCTAGGTCTCTGAGATCGAGTTAACTTGATTTCATAAACCCGGAACAGCGGGTGAACATGGCACGATTCACTTAATCATTCTCGCAACTTTTCTGAATATTCTCGGCAATATCGCCGAGAAATTTTTTAATCCGCCTCCGCGGGTTTCGTGAAGAACGACGAGAATAGGATTAAATCACTCTTAGGAATTTATTCCGGGAGTCATTACGCATTTTTTTTTTATCCCAACTTGATATCGTCGACAGTTTTTGATCCGTGATACTTTAATTATAACATAATTATAACACTTTTTGTTTTTCTTGTTCAATATTATTCGTAGCCACGAATATTTTGCTCGTTCGTCAACATTACTTGCACAAATACACACGATGTTCTTTTTTATTTTACATTTATCGTTCGCAATTCCAGACAATTACAATTGGATTAGCGCTTTTTGCCAATTTCCATCGGTTTACCGTTATTGTATGGTCGACCACGCTTATTGTCCCATGTCTCGTGTGTTACGCGCTTTTACTACCCGTTGACACCAATTAACGCCCGTATTTACCGTACCGTTTCGCGAAATTTCCTGAGAGCAATTAGTTGTTGACGCCACTCTCGTATAATTGGATGGAAAATTGCACATTCTGGATACGAATAATATATAATAATAGAAGAATAAAAATTTCTTCGGATATTAACATTATATTAACGAAAAATTCATTGCTTAGAAAAAGCTCTCTTTTCTTTATTTCGACACAACAAAATTTTCAACGAATTATTATTAATATTATATCATTTGACAATGCAAAATGTGAATAAAAAATTTATAATTGTTTTTAAATGTTGTTTGAGATATGGATCAAATTTTTTCTGGTTTATCTTCGACTAAGATATGGACAAACTTAACCAAGCCAGTTTTATCAACCCTCGCTTCGTCGTATCGACCACTCTCTTGAGTCGCTTCCAGCCGCCGATAAACTCGAGAAACTCGCCGGTAACGCGACTTTTTGGTCTGTGATAACTGAACGATGGACGAAAAGGGGTAGTTTCAATTCCTCGTCAGTCGATACTGTTACCATTCGATGTGGATTCGCATTCTGCGGCTATCTCATAGAGCTTTCTTAAGCTCTTTCTTAGAATGGCAGTCACTTTAATTACGAAACGGAGGAAAGTTCTCTATTACGATGCTTTCCCTAAAGTTTATCAAAGAGCGCGATACACGCTCGGAGTATGAAAGTCGCAAGAAACCGGAAATGGCTAATGTCGCAGAAATGAAAGTCAAGTTTCCATCCGACTACACAACGCACCGTAAGAGCTCGTAAAACTTTTATGCTAGAGTCTCCTGGTATTAAGGCGAAATTGCTTTCCATTTAAATTACAATTTCTTGCCGCCTTGTCGTCCGTCAACAACGGCCACGAAGAACTAGTTTAGTTTTATTAGGTCTCTTGCTGATCTTTTCGCGAATCGAGGAGGTCGAATTCTTGTCCAGGAGTTCCGACCCTTTCCTTTCTCGTTTCCCTGAAATAAACCCCTATATCACCTCTTTGATTAAATTCCGTAACATAATATGAATATATGAATCGTTTTATTTTAAGTAAATAAAGACAAAGATACTCAAATAAAATTATATAATATTACAATTTCATTCATATAATAAAACTATTGCAGTAACACGCATATAATAATATGTTTTTCAAAGTATTATGCAAGGAGAGAGATTGAAAAAATTGTTACACTTTACCTTGCTCAAGTAAAATTATTGATTAATATAAAGAAGATTATTTAAAACATTGAAACATTTTATAATATTAACACATGATAATTATTATTTTAAAATTTAAATTCTCCAAACAATTGAAGCTCTTTTATCACGGTACGAATTTAATACCCAAAAACCATTGTTACTTTCGACTTATTCTTTTTTATTACATACAAAGAACGGAGTCACTTGATAGAGGTCTCTCCTTTCAAACGTGAACGTGTCTCTTAAATTGCGTAAGACAAGAGGAACGGCATCAAAGTAGCTCGTCGCTCCTCATTTACCGGAAACCACCGTGGCTGATCCGCACTTTTCATTTTTCTGGAAAGCAGCAAGAGCGGATGAGGTGGGCGTCGGAGCTCGTTAACGCATGCAGACGCTGCGACGGGAATTAATGTGTCAGTGACCCGTTTTAGGGTCACGGTTCGTTTACCAAACCTTATCGCGTTGATTGGCCGATTGCTCGGCGTTTTCTTGTTCGCTCTCATACACAACGGTACGCTGACGAGGAAGAGACACAAGAGAGGAGACAGATATATAAAATTTTGATTGGAAAAGAGTTGCTTAATAAAATAAAGCCCACAATATATGTATATCTAGCATAGATATCTATTGTATGCGGCACAAAAATCAAGCAATTTTTTTTTCTTCTCGGGAAAACGTTACAAATATGTCGATGTTTTTATAAATATTCGCGTAATAACTCGTTGATAACTAATTTTCTCTTCTTTTAATTTTCTCTACAAAATATTACAAAAAATTGAAATACTTTATATACGCACTGATTTGTTTGATTCTAAGAATGATAAATATATATTACCTAAAAGATATATTTTCTAAAAGAAATTTTGGAATATATGGAATTTTAATTCTTAATGTTTTATGTTAATTAGCTTTGAATGCAATCGAATACTTATAGAACGAATATTGATGTACAAATATTTTTATGCAATCATGTCATTGTCATTTTAATTATGTGTTAATGTTATGTTTAAATTGAGTGTTAAAATTTTTCGGTAAATATTATGTCACTGCAAGGTATTACATCATTGTCATGCTTAAAGTTAATGCTTCGTATTCTTTTTGCATCTATGTAAATGTGTGTGTTGACAAAAGCAGGAAAAGTAAGAGAAGAAAAATATCGCGATGTCTCGCCGGGCGACGTTGCTGCCGGGCATCCTGTGGCGACATTTTACAAATCGCGTTCCCCGGCATGTTTAATTTATCGAAATCCTGAGGGAGAAGCCAGCTGCAGCGTCCATTTGTCAAGATCCACGCGACGAAACTACGCTGCGATGACGTCGCGTATGGCTGAACGGCTGCTTAACTCCATAAAAGCAGCTCTGTTTCCCTCGCGGATCGTTAATCTATCGTTTATCACGTCGAAACAACTATGGTACACGCGTGTTCCAGTAATAAATTGCGGTCTAATTTTAAAGACGAAGCGGCATGACCCTCGTCGAGGTCACCATCGGGCGATATCCATGGAATATCAATATTTCATCGAGAAATAATATCAGAACGAAACATTTCCTCAAACAAATGGCTACCACTTGACGTGTATTCAGATCTTATCTCCGATGAAAGCTAAGACTGACGAAATCTACATCTCAATCAAATAAACGAAGATCGAATGCAAACAAATTTTTTCATTATAATTTACATGAATCAGCAATTAAAAAGTGTGAGAATATTTAATTTTACCGAGTTACCTTGCATTTATACGAAAAATATGAAAAATATTTAATCGTCTTAAACGAAAAAGAGAAAATGCGGCAGAATGTTGAATTTAGCATTTTTTTTCCTACAATCAGCCTTTGCCACACTCGTCGGCGTTTATACCACCTGTTGAAAAATATACGTAGTGCAAAGGTTCCGTTACTTTTGTAGATGTTCAATATCTGACTCGTCTTTTTGCCAAACGCGAAGTTCATTTTCGATCTATCTATCCGATGTACTGATAAAAATTTTCAGAAAGATATGAATATATCATGATTTGATTAATATGTTTTAGAATCTCTGTTTGTCCAAAAATTTCGTTAGGATATAATAAAATATTTCTTAATAAGACATTAATTAATTCAGTAATTATCTGTTACAGATGGATTCTCAAACCAAGAACGAATAGCTTTTATTGTTGGACGACGGAAGAAAATTGTGGCACTTTTCTACGATCTTTAATTTACTGACGGAATAGTTGGCGTAAAAGGAAGACCTGTTGAAGAGAGGAACGGGAAAGAGAGCAACGTTGAAACCGGGACAGTGACCCAGCCGTTGGAAACTCATAACGACTGGAAATGGTAGCGGGAGAAAAGAGGGTGAGTACTGCAATTTTGCACAAACTCGGTAATAAACCATTCCGCAGTAATATCGTGGTGCAAGAACAACGAAAAAAGGACTCGCAGGACATTACCGTGCGGATGGGGTAATTCACGACGGGAATTTCGTCGTTCTCTTTAATTGCCATCTGTATCCGAGGACGTGAGCGAAGCTCCCGGATTAATCTTACAATTTCAGATAAATCTTGTGCCGAAATCTTATTTCGCGAAGATTCGTTCGAATCTTCCAACGGAAGTCAGGAGGAGAAGGAAGTGATCAATTTAAATCGAGACGTCATTTAAAGATTCTAGCTCGTCGATCTCAGGAATTACAAATGGCAGCGCTACGAAAAAGCGGGAAAAGTGTTGATTTACGTTGATACACGGCTCTCACATATCGAAACATGTACGTCGCATCACGAAAGGATTTAATTCGTATGTGTCTTCGACACGCATCTCCGGGGAAATAACATTGAGTGTTGCCGCACATATCGCTCGGTATTCCGAGCATCCGAAGGAATTGTCTTTAGATAGAGACGCGCGAGGGACTACAATTTCAAACTTTTTTCCTCTTCGTTATTCTTGCGACCGTCGAAACACCATTCCGACTCAATATTGCATGTGCTCGATTAAAATATGAAACACTCGAAAGGATGAAAAGCAAATTCTTTTATTTTTTGAAATAATACAATGGTACAAAAGTGATGATCAACGACAACACAAACTTAATAGCTTGCTATATTTCTTCTTTTTGCGATGACCTATCGTAGACGAAACCACGGCTGATTGATTCGTTTTTTTTAGCGGGAGATGAGAAAAGAGGTCATTTCGCGACGTTAACGTTAATGCGCGCACTCGCGGATTTGAAAAGTGCCCCGAGTCAGCGTGGTCGCAGAGAAGTTTTAACTAGTCATTCGATATAATGAGGGGTTATCTAAGGAGACGAGCCGCGTTCGTTCGGTGTCGGGGAATTAACGATCATCCCCCGTGCGTTTGCATACAAAGTGCATTCTCCGCGCCGCCGATTCTCGTTATCCTTTTTACTGCGCGGCGTCCTCCTCGGGGGAGCTCTCGGCGAATGCGGGACTTTCCGTCGGGAATAGACTCCGGCGCGAAAGGAATTAAATCGTTATCCATATCCGGGATTCCGGGCCGCCGCCGCCGACGACCGCGTTACATTTACGGCGCTCAATTTACCCCGTTACTGACAGTTCGCAGGTTTACAAACTTGGCCGTGGTGGGATTTTCGTTTTATTGCGCCTTGTACAGAGGCGAAGTTTGATGAAATATTGTACAGCGTCGTTTGTCCCATTACTCACCAAGCGAGACGGGAATGCATTCGCGGAATAATATCGCAGCTCGACGATACGAATGACGCTAAACTCGCACAACGTGATGGATTCAACTTTGTATGCAAACTTCACTTTTCACTGGAATTTCCTTACTACAAAATAAAAACGCTCTCTGATGCATTTTATACATTTTTGAAATTTGTCTGTTTAATATATAGATAACTAAACTAGTAATACACTAATATACTATAAATATTAATATATTAAATACTAACATACGAAATACTAGTATATTAAAAATTAATACTAATATTAATATACAAAACTATATTAATATATTTTAAGAGAGCAAGAGAAATTATAAATGTTTTAATCGATATTATGAAATTTATTTTTGCAATTTACCTGGAAACAATTTCATTGACTAGCTAGTAAAGTTCAACTTTATTCATCTTCGTTGTACGAATCGTAATTTTACAAAGTTACGTGGCGCCGACAATAATACGAGGGTGGTCATATCAGAATAAATCGACCGACAATCGAAGACACACACGGAGCTTATGATGAAAATATCGATCGAAACGATCAGAACTTAGACCCGTAATCTCGTGGCAAAGTTATCTTTTTCCTCCAGTGAACATATGTAATTATGTTAAATTATCAGTCATTTGGTCACTTGTTATATCTAGCTAGTCGTGCGACGTTTCGAACCACATGCGCGCTGAAACGTCGGGCATGTCGGAAATTACGATTGACCGTCGTCGCAAAACGGAAGGACGAAACAGAAGTTTCATAGGACAAAAAGGATCGCGGGCGGAAGACACGACAGCCGCGATTGAGCGCTTCGCTACGTCGAGTGTCAGAAAAGTTGGGCGGACGTCGGACGGCACGATGAAACTTTCCCGGAAGATTAACCGTTGTCCTAAATCGCTCTCGGCAATCGGACACCAGTGCCCGTATATATCCGCCGTGAAATCCGGTCCTTCCCCCCGGTCTCGTTATATCAAAAAATTAAACGACATTGAGACGGATATTTCTGTCGGCGAAGACGGATCTTATTCTCTAGGACGACGTGGCGCGAATTTTTCTTCCGGAGTCGCTTGTACTTTCCGCGGAAAATGTAGCTACTTTTTAACAGCCTTAGTGATTCTTTCTTTTGGTACTAAATTAAATTGAATTAAAAAGTGGACGAGTGTTTTGTGTCAACTGGGGAATTTCGGTTGTTTGTGATATCACAAAATGAATTTTTATCATAATTTTAAAACATTAAAAATAATAATAAAGAAATACACGCATAACATATCTAGGATTCTAAATTTTACCCACGATTATTTTTAACAATTTTGAAAATACCGGAAAATTAATAAATTTAAAATAAAATTTTATTTTATGTTTATTACTCTATAAACACTTTTGTGCATTGCTTTAATTTATTACTTTTTGTATCTTTCGAGGCATTTCTGCCAACTTTTCTCTCATGAAGCCCTATAATGAATGTAAATTCGCGAGCTTCGCGGCAAGTTTTCCATTAGTAAATAAACGTTACGATCCTTGACGTGTAGCACGCGCGGAAATAAGAAAACTCACATGTGCAACTTGAAGAACAGTTTCGCCGTATATGTGTAAACGGTATGTGGTTTGAAATGACTCACTGTGAAACATTAAGTGAAACTATAATAGTCTCTCAGTGTGCAACCTACGGCTCGGTTATATATCTCGTGCAGGTAACATAATGAAACTATAAAGACCGAAACTATAAAGAATCGTTCGCGATTGATTCGAGTTTATTTAAATTTTGTTTTATACTGATCACGATTATTGGCGATATTTGAAAATAAAAATCAAATAGATATCTAACGAAAACTGAAACAAATACTTATTACAAAGATGATTTCTTTATGTTCTATGCCTCATGAAAGAATCAAGACATTCTTTTTTGCTTCATTTTTTAGACATTAAATTTTCAATGATGTACGAATAATTCTACTTGGCAACGTTTAAATGGCAGAAAATACGATAAAGGTGACGAGAGCAAAACGTTCGTTTATTCCTCGTAATCTCAAGATGTCTTATCTTAGGGTCGGTCTTGAGATCGGAGCCACTGAATCTCTTTAGTCGCTGGCTGAAATGCGATGTCGCCGCCATGCAAATGCTCGGCTTAAGCGAACGACGTTACAACTGTTTAAACGCTTCGAAAAGTGTTTGAACATGCTCTCGCGGGACTATGAGCATACTTTTTTAAAAATAAACACGTCGCAAACTACAAAATTGTTCCTCGATAACTGCAATTTAAGTGTAAAAAGTTAATATTGTGGCATTGAGAGGGGTTATCATTAACATGTCAAATATAAATAGAAAGAAAAGAGAAGAGAAAGCAGAAAAATAATAATTTTTCAATTTTCTTCTCCTGTAATCATCGCTAAAATATATTTGCGCGGAATTTTTTACATTTATTGTTTTGCAAAAATTGAGTATTTATCAAGAATGTACTTTATCGAGGATACGTATTCGCGAAATAAAAAATGCGTGATTTAGCTTAACTAGTTAATTTTCATAAAAAGTTATATATCTGCATCTTTATAACGCTTTTAAATGCGAAGGCAGCATGCGTTTTTGTAAAAAGAGAAGCTGACACTCGAGAATTTTCGTATCGATATTGGGACGCCCCATCGTGCGAGAAGAAAGAGCGACCATGACAGCAGCTAAATAAATTAAATTGTTAATTATTATTTTAGAGTAAAATGCCGCGGTGAGCATGAATATTTATGGATCAGGTAATCCGTAATTTCTTAATATATAGGCGTTATATTGAACCCTTAAATCCATGTTGACACCGTCACGGGGGATATTATGAATGAATTTATGAATTTCGGATCGATTATCACGTTGTGCCATTTTGTAAAAAGGATGGATGTGGAAGAGCCGTGGTTGATAATTTCAAGAGTAAAATAATTCATATTCATATTCAATAAAAACATATTTTTCCATCTTGCAATTTCTTGATTTTTTTATATGATTGAATTGTGACTGTTCTATCTTGGTCATCATTCTACGTTAGTCGAGCCATCTGTCATATGTGACTACGAATTACCTTTCAAATGCCGAGATAAACATTCTCTCTAATCGCAGACGAATTGCAAAATCTATTGCAACTTGAAATTCCGCGAAGTAATTATGATTTAATTTTACAAGGAATATTCAAGCCTTTTTAATGCTATTTAATATATATTTCTCGTTGATGCATTTGACCTATAACATATACTAAAAAGATCTTTAGAAATTAAAGATTTAATCAAGTAATATATATAAAGAGTTTCTTTAATTTTTTATTAGTAATTTTGAACATCTTATACAGTTAACATTTTTTTTTATTATTTTAATTGAATTTAATTATTTGTTACAGTAGAAATAAATTTATGCAAAATGAAATTGCTTTTGATTAAAAGAAATCCGCAATTTTGTTTAAAAAAGAGAATCTTCTTGGAATTATTAAATTATAGGAATTTTCGAAAAAATAAATTCGCACTAAAATATTGAAAGCTCTTTATGCGAGTTAAATACGTCACATTCATCGCCATGATTTCTTAAGCCGATTTGCCGTATTACAATACATTCTTACCATACTGTGGTGGAAAATTATATCCTTCTGACATCCTTCTAATATTATTTTATCGGGCTGAACATGATGATATATAGACACGCGGAGGG